TTTCTCTAACCCAGATACTGCCACTTTCATTGCTTGGTTGACGAGGATAACGGATGTTGGAATGAGGAAACAATGAGAGCCTTCTTCTCAGAGGAGGTGGCCAATGATATCCTCCAAATTCCTATCAACTTGGCGGGAGGGCCGGACTTTGTGCGCTGGCCTTTCACAAGATTCGGAGAGTACACTGTCCCTTCAGCCTACAACATGTCCAGGATGAGTCGATTCTTGTCTGAACGGAGTGGAAATGTCGGGGGATAGCACTCCAGTTGGGCTTTGGAGGAAAGACTATGGAAAAAGCTTTGGAATGTCAAGGCTCCAAACAAGATGAAAGTAGTGCTCTGGAGGTTTGCTCACGACTGTCTGCCATCGGGAGAGCAACTGCACCGGCGTCAGGTTCCGACGAGGACGGACTGCTACTTATGTGGCCGTCCGAAAGGCATTGAATACGCGTCGCTGTTTTGTGCTCATGCCCGAACTACCTGGGAGGAGATCAAGGTCGCCTTTGGGATCAAGTTGTTCCGCTCTTCCTTCATATCTTCGAAGCAATGGCTGTTCAACTTGCTAGCGCGTGGCTCAGATCGAGATATATCCATCATATCGGTCACATTGTGGCATATTTGGGAGGTTCGGAATTCTGCCCGTAATGAACCTGATGCTCCTCATCCGAAGCGTACATCGGCGAGGGTGCGTGCTTACATTGATATGATTTTTCAGCACCTGTTCAATTCTGGACCTGCAACTAGACGTGAGACACCTGCTTCTAGCTCCTGTTGGTCTCCGCCACCGCAAGGTACGTTGCTGTTGTCTTCAGATGCTGCTGTCTCTTTGGACCGGGGTTCTTCTGCGATGGGTGTGGTGGTGCAAGACCACACCAGCCAGTGTGTGGCTACAGCTTCAGAACCTCTGCTTGGTGTCTCATCTCCGAAAGTGGCCGAGGCCCTGGCTCTTCGTCGTGTGGCTTATTTGGCTCGTCAAGAGAACTATGAGCATGTGATCTTCCAATCTGATTGCCTCTCGGTGGTGCAAAGGTTGCATTCTTGGGCCCGAGACCGTTCCTTGGTGGGTTCGATCATCGCTGATATCAAGTCGGCTTGTGGGGCTTGTCTACTGTGTCTTTTAAGCATGTTCGTCGGCATCGTAATGTTTCAGCTCATGTTTTAGCTAGATTCAGTCTGAACTCAGTGAGTTTTTGTATTTTTCATTTTGCTTCGGATTGCATCCGGGAGACTTTATATAATTTGATTGCTTGATTTATAAAGGCCGGCATTCTCTCTCTAAAAAAAAGAAGGTTCATCGCAAGGTCCGACTAAAAAAAGAAGACCAAAACCGGTCCCTCCCGACTCAGGGACGCATCTACCGACAGTCGTCATCCTCCTCCAGCAATCCCCATGTGCTCTCTGCCCCGCTCCGCCTGATCCCACTCCCACCGCCTCCTTCTGCTCGTCCGCGGCCCATTCATCCACATCCGCCACAGTCCTCCATGCCCTGCCTCCGGTGTGCCTGACGACCCGATTCCTCGCCAACGAACTCCTCCTCAGTTCCCCACTTCCCGGATCCCCGTCGCCCCGGCCGAGCAGAAACCGGAGCCCCGCCGCAGATCCGCAGGGAGAAGGAGGGGGGAGAATGGACGCCCCGTCGGTGGCGCTCTACAACCAGCTCAAGGTAACAAGAATGCCCTCGCGCTGCTTATGTTGTCGGGGGCGGCATTTCGTCGACCACTCTGCGGCTGCGGGTGCCGTGGCGGGTTCAGTTCAGACCTTCTTTGCCCTTTGTTCCTCGCCTAGGTTTTTTTAGTAACTAAAACGGTTCTTGTGGTGGGTAGTTGTTGGATCACGTCGCTATCTGCTTATTGTTTGTAGTCCTTTTTCTTTTGGTTAACAGATGATAATACAACTGACAGTTACGGCATACATTCTGTCAGTTGATAATACAGATGATAATACATTCTGTTAGGGCCTTGCATGGTGCTTACCAGTTACGTCATACAGAATAATCCGCATTTGTTAGGTTTCTTGGTGAGGTGCTGGTCAAATTAAGTCAATTAATATGCTCCCTGAATGTCTTAAATGCATGTCGCCGTTGCGATTTACATGAATGTAGAAATAGTTCCGCAGAAATTCGCATGATTTAGCAAGTTTGTTGGTGTCGTGACGCTATTGACTATGCTCGAGCCTTGGGATGTTTGGTATCACTAAAATGGTATTTCTGTATTTCTGTTTTTGTGTTTTCTTTCGAGTCAATTACAGAGTAACTTCCTTTTGAGTGCTGTGTTTCTGCCTCTTGGATGATAGTAAAATTGCTTTTCGGGGCTCATATCATGTCCTTGGTTTGTCGTCATATGAATGAATGATACTAGCAGCGTGATCACAGCTGAAGACGTCATATATGCGAGAACTGACCCCTCTGATTCTTGTACCAGGCTGCTCAACCATTCTTCTTGTTAGCTGGGCCCAATATGATTGAATCAGAGGAACATATCTTGAAGATGGCCAAACACATCAAAGCCATCACGACCAAGTAAACAACCAATCACCATACTTCTGTTTACTCTTGGGCCAAACTAAACCTGTTTTTCTTTCTCCATGGCAGGCTTGGGGTGCCTCTTGTGTTCAAATCAAGCTTTGATAAAGCAAACCGTACATCGTCGAAATCCTTCCGCGGTCCTGGTCTGGAACAAGGCCTAAAGGTGTGACAAAATAATATTAGACCTTTTGTCGCTTCCGTATATAACTTTATCACCTTTCTATATCAGATCCTTGAAAAGGTGAAGGCCGCATATGACCTTCCAGTGGTCACCGACGTGCATGAAAGCTGCCAGGTATCCATTTGATTCTATTAATCCTGTATGTAAGGAAATTCTTCTCTGTTTTGCTAGCAAATTCTGCTGTGTCACTCGCTTGATATTTCTGCAAATTTAGCTGAGTCCATTAATCATGTTTCCTTTCTATGAAATGTTACTGTACCACAGGTACCGTTACTTTTTCGTACATTTGAATGTGACATGTGTGAATTTAAAATATCTTTGTTTGAATATATTGCTAGGCTTTTTGTGTTGAATTTGTACTGCTACATGTGTTTATTGTATACCCTTTGAATCCTAATTCTTGGATTGTGTGTCCTTTGCTCTGAAGTGTAAAGCAAAGATGTTTTCTAACTAATTCACTAAATCAGTGTGAAGCTGTCGGAAGAGTTGCTGATATTATACAGATTCCAGCTTTCCTCTGTCGCCAGGTACAAATTTAATGTATGCATGTTTCTGGGAAAACTGCAGTACTACTACCTATCAAGCATGAATCTTCTTTAATATCTTGTTCAACATGCCTAATATAAGTATCTATGACAACAGACTGACCTTCTAGTGGCTGCGGCTAAGACTGGGAAAATTATCAATATCAAGAAAGGACAATTCTGTGCCCCGTCTGTAAGTTGCATTTCTATCTGGCAGTCTTCGCAAAATTCGAATGTAGCACCCCATATTTTGATTCTTATAAGGTGCGTTTGAGTTGGCACCTCGACAAAATTAAAGTTTAACCATAAATTTCTTTTCCAATATATTGTTTGTACCTATCAAGGAAATTATGACAGCGTGAAAAGCACATATAGACACGGGGCATATTTACTACACATTTATATTGTTTGACTATCTATTGGTCAAACATTACAAAGAATGAAAGATAGAATCTCATGTTTCATGGGCGCTTCGTAGAAATCAAAAAGGGGTACCATTGTTGCCACTATCTGAGTTATTGCTGGTGCCATTGTCTGTTTTAGGGTTAGCCTAAAAAACTCATGCTTAGTTTGTTCAATAATGTCCTTTGTATTTCACATCATGTGATTTCTTTCTCTATGAGATTGAATGGTCATGCAAAGTTGAAGCTAATTGCACTTGTTTGGACCTTTTATTCTACTCTTTATTAATCCAACATTAGAAACCAACATGATGTCTAACTAACTGTGTAAAACAAGCTATCAGTTCCAGTTTAGTCTGTCACTGTTCTGAATTGTCATTTCCCTTCAGAAGTTCGGCCAGCCATTGTTCAAGATGTAGCTTTCTGTATCCATATACCAATTACATTCTTGTGCTACTTAACTAGATGTTTTTTCAATGGAAAATGTTGCGCCCAGCTTCTAGTTAAGTTGCACATTTGTTGAAGTGATCCTGTATGGCTGTACCATAACAGGTTATGGCCAACTCTGCGGAGAAAATTAGACTTGCTGGAAATCAAAATGTAATGGTCTGTGAGCGAGGCACCATGTTTGGCTACAGTTAAGTCATCTTTTCGCCTTTTTTTGTACTGCCTGCTTCAGTAGTAAATAAATAAGAGAAAACACATAATATCATATTACATTATAGGCTATGTAATTATCAGGAAACATATTGTACTGACTAGGATATCCTGCTCTTTCTGGACACTTGGATATGATGTGGCATGGGGAATAATGATTGTTGTGATGGAGCAGCTAGATAAAGAGAAAATACATGAAAAAGTGAAATCTGAGGGCTAACTAGCTCTTCAAATGTCTCTGTGTCCCTAGCCATTTAACATTTTAGCGTGTTTGAATTTACTAATAGTAGTAGTACATACTACTAGTCAGGTTGGTGCACCATGCAGTGCAGCTGCCATAAAACAAAGTGAGCTATACAACCATTTGCCCGCTTTCCTTATTCAGGTTAAAGGAGAATCAGGCATTAGCCCTGCAACAAGCAACAAATGTTCATGGTTTCGTTGTAGCAGATAACTGATTTAGCAATATCTTGTTTTGTTTTCATTTTACACACAGATGATCTAATTGTTGATCCAAGGAACTTTGAGTTGCTGAGGGAAGCAAATTGCCCAGTTGTAAGTATTATCACCTTACTTTTGTCCACAATTGCACAATCACATATTCAGCTTGTTTCTAGTCATGAAAAGCTCTGTCTAGGTTATCATTGGCGTTCGGCCACAATAGAAAAAAGGTTATCATTGGTGAGATTGGGTATATCGGGATGTCCGGTATTCATGATGGCGTGATATTTGCAAAAAAAATAGCATTAACCTATTTTGCAACATTGGAGCTCTATTATATAATGAAGATAGTTGTTTTTTATTGTCAATTAAGTGATTAAGCATTGAGTTTTATTTTTCTCTTGGGGCACATTTGCCTTAATATGGCAGATGTCTAGCTTTTGTGCTATTTTCTGTTGTTATTACTCGATAACGGATTTGGGTTATTTGTTTAGACATAAACGAGATGATTGCGTTTTCTATAGCTGAATTGCACGTTGAATTCTCGATTTGTGTATTCTCAAATATCATGTTATGTGGTAACTTATTCCATTGAATTCTCGATTTGTTTATTCTCAAATATCATGTACCATGAACAATGACATAGATCAGTGACAGAGAAGTATCCATTTTCAGGTAGCTGATGTAACACATGCTCTACAACAACCAGCTGGGAAAAAGGTATACTCACCTATTTCCAATATTCCTCTCTTGGTTTAGGGTAATTGTCCTCGCAGACATTTTTGCTCAACCTTAAGAAAATTATTGAAGGGGAGCCTTGGCGCAGTGGTAAAGCTGCTGCCTTGTGACCATGAGGTCACGGGTTCAAGTCTTGGAAACAGCCCCTTGCAGAAAATGTAGGGAAAGGCTGCGTACAATAGACCCAAAGTGGTCGGACCCTTCCCTGGACCCTGTGCAAGCAGGAGCTACATGCACCGGGCTGCCGTTTTTTAAGAAAATTATTCTTTTCTTTCTTTTCCCCTTTGGCAGAGTCATGTCGTTTGTGAATAAAATCAACATCAAGGGAATCATCATGATCTTTAAATGTTGCCAATAGTTTACATGGAAACTTGCTCCCTTCTGTCTTAAAAAATATGACATTTTAGACGTCTATGCTGTGTTCATAACATAATTTTGCTACTTAATTTCTACTATAGTATCGCTAAATTTAATTGTTACGTTATGGAAGTATGTTCTGATACCAATCTGTAAATATGATTTCTCACATATCCAATCGAATCATATGTTTTTAACAAATTGGTGGTGAAAGTTTTAAAAGCTTGATGAAAACTATGTCCCGGACACCATGCTTATATGGACTGGGAGGGATTATACGATACGTGGCAATGTTCCAAAGTGATCCATCACTGTTTATTTCTGCAACCATGATCCATGGCCAAAGCTCAAAAACCATGGTGTGATATCTAAGCAATTCAGTCTTTTTGGGTTATTTCTATTTTGGTTCTTCTGTGTAGCCATCTCCTAAGATAGTGTGATCAATTAGTAAAACATTGATGACCAAATTAAACCTCTTCCAAACTAACTGTCTTTTGAGGATTTTAATTTTGCTCAACCGGGCATACTTGATTCTGTTTTGTAAGCTTGATGGTGGTGGGGTTGCAAGTGGGGGCTTACGAGAACTCATACCATGCATCGCAAGGACTGCTGTTGCAGTTGGTGTTGATGGTATTTTCATGGAGGTAGGTCGATGAAGCTATCATGTTGCTTTTTGCTCCATGTACCTTTCAATTTTTTTTATCATCCATAGAGATACAACAATATTTTTAAGATTATTTTCACAATCCTATGACAGGTACATGATGATCCCCTGAATTCACCATGTGACGGGCCAACTCAATGGGTAACCTCTCCTGTTGAGACATTTTCAACCATGGTGGGTGATGATATGCTCACTTATTCCTACTGTTGTGCACATTGTTTTGTAGCCATTGCGCAATTTGGAGGAGCTGTTGGAAGAATTGATTGCGATCGCTGTAAGTGAGACATCCTTGCTTGGGTATAGTGAGGCCAAATCGCTCTCTTAAGCGCTCACCATTTTCCTTTTTCTCTTTGTGCGAAGCGAGTCACCAAAGGAAAGAAACCGCTCAAGATCGACCTAACTCCATTCAAGGAGTGATTTGGCAGTGGATAGCAATAGGAATAACCTTGTGGCTGCCAATTGGTTTCACCAATATGGTCGTGTCCAGGCGAGTTGGCTCTTTGTATGCGGTACTTTCATTTACCGTTGGCTTCTAGCTTTGTTGGATTGCCTGCATGTATTAGTTTCTTTCCAAGCGTAGCATAGCAGCCACAGATTGCTGTTTTGAATGGCTCTGTCTCGAGAATCAACCCGAAAGAAGTCGACTTTTGATTTGTGGTGTTTCAGTTGGAGCACATTTTTCGAAATCGGACAGCAGGGTAAAGAAACACACACGGTTGCATGAGCATGATGATAGCAGCTTCCTCTTTTTATCCCTGGTGATAAACTGATACAGTTGCGAACAATGCTAAATACATAAATTCTCCTTGAAAAATCAATAAATCATAATGCCTAGAGCTTTTCTTGCAAATGCAAATGGATTTGATGATTAGGGGACCAAACGAACACCGAGTATATTCAATAGTTTTTCCTCCTTGAAATTGAAAGCCTTCACCATATTACAAACCAGAAGTGAAGCATCCAATTTGCTTCCAGTTCTGAAGAAAGTTTTGACGCTCCGGATATTTGAATTGCAATTACCTTGCGAATTCCTGATGCAAAGCCCATGGAACTTTGATCAACAAGTTTCGGTTAAATGCTATCTTGTCCCGTGTCGCGTGCATACTTGACCCGCATCACCTAGGCTGCAATAGAAGAAGAATTAGGCTGGCTGCAACATTAGAAGCTACGTAACTGCTAGTGACATGAGTCACCTATGATCCTGAGAACCATCAGCTGCACGTGCATCGTCAAGCATTGAATTTCTGTTCAACATACTCCTATGCCAACCAACTGCTTCAAATACATATCCATCTCTTTTCTCCTGTGTCTAGCCAAAGGATCGGTTATGCAAGAATGCACTACCATTAGAGTCCTTTCCCCTAGCGGCGGCTAGGATTTCCGTGTCCTCCCTGGCGATCTAATCGCGAGAGAGTTTCTACCCAATTTCTTCGCCTCCCCTACATAGGGTTTCCCGTACGGATCGAGGGAAGTCTTCTCCCAGGTTTGCTACGATGGAATCGGCGGCGGACGCACAGTCAGGTACGAGCGGCGGCAGCGGTGCCGCCATGAGATCGGATGTGGACGAATTCATGGAGCAGTTGAACCTTGAGGATGAAGTCTTTGATGATTTGGTAATCGATGAGAACGACCAGGAGATCAATGAAAGCGTCAGATGGCTAGCCCTAGCTAGGGTTCATACGGACAAAACCTTTAGCCCGACAGCTTTTTACAAGGAGATGCAGGCGGCGTGGAATCCCGCACAACATGTGAACTTCCGGCCGGTTGGGCCGAACTTGTTCGTGGTTCAGGCTGCATGCCTCGGCGACTGGGAACGGATGATCGAACAGGGACCATGGCTGTTTAGGAATTTCTTGGTGCTAATGTGCCCTTACGATGGCTTCACGAAGGCGGAGGAGGTGCCCATTGTACATATGCCTGTTTGGCTTCAGATTCACAAGCTACCGGAAGGGTTCTGTAAGAAGGGCATTGTGGAACATCTGCTTAGGAACTCTGGTAAGATTTTGGAGATGAGGCTGAACGGAAACACACGAGGGGACTATGTGCGAATCAGGGTTCGCCATGATGTTCGTCAGCCCCTCACCAAGTTCGTCAGTATTGTCAGAGGAAAAGAGCGTCAGGTTTTCTTGGTGCGTTATGAGAAGCTTGCTCGATTCTGCAGTGTATGTGGCATCATAGGCCACGAGTTCAAAGAGTGTGGGAACGGGATCCATGAGGAGAAAAACAAGAAATTTGGTGCGTGGCTATATGCTGATGGTCCATATAAGCCACGGCAGGAAAGTGGTAATCGGGGGAGCGAGCAGAAACCTGAATATACCCCTAGCCGTCTGAACAAACCACCCAAGCAAGTTGATCCTGAAACAATGGACACAGCTACAAGCCCGTTGAAGGCCACCAACACTCTCATGCAAGTTGATCCTGCTGTGCGGAAGCGACTTGCGATGGAAGAGGCGGGTACAGGTAACAGGATAGGGGGGTCCATGGCCCCTCCTGGAACCCTCACGCTGACACTTGGAGAAGGAGAAGAGGGTGATGACGTACATTCACCAACGTCCAGCTCGGGTAGTAAGCGCAAAAACAGTTTTTGAAGATGCTTCTAATGATAGATCGGCGGCCTCCCTCGAGGAGGACCGCCGGGTACAATGAGTTCCCTAGTATGGAACTGCCGGGGGGGGGGGGGACCGCCGGACAGTTCGCGAGGTTTTGGCCCTCTGCAAAGCCAATTCCCCGGGGCTGGTCTTTCTTTCTGAAACCAGACAAGCCTCAAGCAAGATGGAGAAGCTCAAGTTCCGATTGCAGATGAGAGGATTTGCAGGTGTCTCTAGTGATGGGCTAAGTGGGGGCCTGGCTCCCTATTGGGATGAAAACTTACTAGTGACAGTTCTGAACTCGTGTGCACGGTATATAGACGTGCGAGTTGTAGATGCAACAAATGATAAAACATGGAGGACGACCTATGTGTATGGAGAACCACGGGTGGAGAATAGGCACCGTATGTGGAGTGCGCTGTCAAATCTACGTGCCATTTCCTCCGAACTGTGGCTAGTGTGTGGAGACTTTAATGAAGCAATGTGGCAACATGAACATGTGTCACAGACGCAACGAGCCGAGAGTCAAATGCAGCAGTTCAGGGACTGCTTGCTAACCTGTGAACTAATGGACTTGGGGTTCTCTGGAATCCCGTATACATATGACAATGGGCAAGTGGGGAATAGGAACGTCCGGGTGCGACTGGATAGAGCTTGCGCTGATGAAGCATGGAGGGACTTGTTTCCCTATACGCAGGTGGATCACTTGGCGTCGTCTTGCTCGGACCATTGTCCTTTGATGGTTCGGATATCGCATGAGGAGGCACCCAAGAACAGAAGTGCGGCCAGGTACGAAATCATGTGGGAGAGACACCCGGCTTTGGCCTCGGTCATTGCGCATAGATGGGGGAAAAGCAAGCCGAAAGGAACTCTTGGTGCTGTCCGAGATGCGCTGAAGGAGATGATGGCGAAGCTGTGCTCGTGGAGCAAGGAAAACTTCGGCCACGTCACCGCTGAAATTGAAAAACTACGGAAACAGCTAGCTGACTTGCAACTCCAAGATGCGGACAAGTCAGTGATAAAACAGAAAATGTACCAGTTGGACGAGTTGCTCTATAGAGAAGAAATGCTATGGCTACAGCGATCACGGATCACGTGGCTGAAAGAGGAGAGCGGAACACTGCCTATTTGCACCGACGGGCTGTATGGCGGGCACGACGCAACTATATTCAACGCTTATGCACAATGGATGGGTCCTGGTGCACCGTCCCGTCAGACATGGAACGCATGGCAAGCTCATATTTTCAGGAAGTGTTCACCAAAGATCCGACTCTTACACCTACGGAGGTACTTCAAGGTATAGCTCCTAGAGTGACACAGGGTATGAATGATCTGCTATGTGCACCGTTCTCAGAGGAGGAAGTGTCTAATGCCCTGTTTCAGATTGGGCCGATCAAAGCGCCGGGCACGGATGGCCTGCCGGCGAGGTTTTTCCAGTGTAACTGGGCTGTGCTGAAGACGGAGATTGTTGCTGCAGTTTTGGATTTCTTTAAAACAGGTATTATGCCAGAGGGAGTGAATGATACGGCTATCATCCTTATTCCAAAAGTTCCCCACCCTAAGGAACTAAAGGACTTCAGACCGATAAGCCTATGTAACGTGCTGTATAAGATCGTGTCTAAGTGCCTGGTCAATAGGCTGAGACCGTTGTTGGGTGAGCTGATCTCAGAGAACCAAAGCGCATTCATCCCTGGGAGGCTTATCTCAGATAACTCTATAATTGCTTTTGAGTGTATCCATCATATACAGAATATGAAACCAAATAGTACTGCTGCTTGTGCTTACAAGTTGGATCTCTCGAAAGCATATGACCGTGTAGATTGGGAGTTTTTGGAGCAAGCCCTAATAAAATGGGGGTTCTCGATGGAGTGGATTAAATGGATCATGGCTTGTGTGAAGTCTATGAAATACTCGGTTAAGTTCAATGGGAAGCTATTGGATGCGTTTTCCCCTACTAGGGGACTAAGGCAAGGTGACCCCCTGTCTCCCTTCCTCTTCCTGTTTATAGCTGACGCTTTGTCCTCCTTGTTATCCAAGTCAGTGCAAGAGGGAGAGTTGAAGGGGGTATCAATCTGCCGTGGTGCTCCAGTCATCTCACATCTATTGTTCGCAGATGATACTATGTTACTGTTTGAAGCATCAAGTCACCAAGCAACCACTGTGAAAGGCTTGTTGAACACTTATGCCAGAGCGACGGGTCAACTTATTAACCCCGAAAAGTGTTCCATCCTTTTTTCGGACAACTGTTCGGAGGCGGTGGCGGAAGAGATGAAGGGGATTTTGGAAGTAACACAACAAGTCTTTGAGCCTAAATACCTGGGTTTACCTGTACCGGAAGGAAGAGTTCACAAAGGGCAATTTGAGACTGTGCAGGACAGGTTAAGGAAAAGATTGGTGGACTGGAGTGAGCAGTATGTGTCGATGGGAAACAAGGAAATACTCATTAAGGCGGTAGCACAAGCAATACCAACATACGTGATGAGTGTTTTCCGCCTGCCGGCATCAGTATGTGACGACCTTACAAGGTTGATGAGACAGTATTGGTGGGGAGTGGAGAAGGGCAAGAGGAAGATGGCTTGGTTGAGCTGGGAGAAGATGATATTGCCTAAGGATATGGGGGGCATGGGGTTTAGGGACATGCGGGCTTTCAACCAAGCGCTGCTTGCAAATCAGGCTTGGAGATTATTACAAACC